CAGTCACTCCTTGGAAACCCTATACAGGGTCACTATGAGTCGGAACCAACTTCACAGTCCTTAACAACAACAACAACCCTCTACCCAACCTACTTGGGAAAGGGAAATAGTTATAACTCTGAATGAAGTTAAGTTTTTATTATAATAAAACCAAAACCCAAAACCATTGCCATTGAGTTGATTTGGACTCTTAAGTACCCTTCAAAGGGTTTCTAAGGCTATTAATCCTTACAGGAGCAGATAGCCTTTCTACTGACAACTGGCTGGTAGTTTTGAACAACCAACCTTTCAATGAGCCATCGAAAACCTATCCCACAGCACCACCAGATGTACTGGACTAGAAAAATTATCATTCACAAGAGGATCTTCTATTGCCTGAAAGTTACCAGAAATGTCATGAGTCTTGACCGTAATTTAATCGGGGAAAAACCAGTGCCCTGAATAAACTTAAAAGGAGAAAAAAATTGTTTGGAGATTATTTTTCTATAAGTTTTGTTTTTCAGTGCTATGATTATGTATTTATAATTTGCTTAATTATTTCTTTGTTTTTATACATTTAGGTTTGTGATATTGAGTTACTATAATGTTGCACTATACAGGTTTATATATATATATACATTTATCATTATGGTTTGGATGATTAGAGATGTATTTCCAGTAGCGAGACACTCTTACTATAAATATTGACAAATTGTGTTTTTTCCACTGTTGTTATCTTTGCATGATTGTGAGGTACTTTGTAGCCAATGTAGAGAAATCCTTACTTTTTTGGGATGCTCTCAGCTACCTGTGCCACAATACCAAGAAGATTAAAAAAATACTTTATAACATTTATGGAGAAGTTGATTGCAAAAGAGGAAAAATCTCTTTTCAGTTAATTGTACCTGAACGGATGTTTAAAAATTGTTACTCTAAATGCATTTGATTTATTGATTGTAAAGTTGACAGAAGTTTATTAATCATAAAATATCTCATTATGTAGTAGAAATATGCATAAAAAGTTAGAGTCAGTTTTTAATTTTGAAGCACATTAATTTTGAAGAGGAAACTATTTAAAACTTCACTAATGACCCTAGAATAATTTAGTATTAAATAAGATGAATAATACATTAGTATCTTCCTTGGTTTAAATGAAACTTTAAAAAGTTTAACTATGAAATCTTAGATTTTTAATCTGCAATAATTACTCCGGAGGAATCCTGGTGTGGCACTATAGGATAAACAATAGACTGCTAACCACAAGATCGGGAGTTCAAACCCAGCACCCACTCCTCGGAAACCCTGTATAATGTCTCTATGAGTCAGAACAACTTGACGGTACATAACAATAAAAACAACCATCACTGTGGAGATAAGACTAGTTCCTGGTTAGTCAGTTCTCGGCTGATTCCTGCAAACACTAACTAGGTTGTAGCTCACCGGGTGGGTAAATTTAAACCAGTTTTTTTCTGTATTAAAATGGCCTTTCAAAACTGTGAGCATCTTTTTGACCATAGACACTGATTGCGTTTTCAAATGAAAAGTTAAGGTTGAGTTGTCATTCCTGAGTGCGGAGAAACTGCAGGCTCACTTAGAAAATGCCAATCGTGTAATTTCCTTCTCTCAGAAATTCGTCAACCTCAAAGCATGTCGTCCACCTAACGGGTTATACACCGGGCTTTTCATGTTTTGTATCAGAGGCACATTATGAATCCCACCACTCTGTGAATTCAGCGGTTCTCAGCAGAGACCACAAGAAGTTCCTACCTGGACCAAGCTATATCCTGTGCGCTGGATGAGTGCGCGAAGGGCTGCTTCCTTCTGGGTGCCGCTCAATCCATCCCCGGATTTTTGATTTGATTCCATTGAGAGTGATTATCAGCAAAAAATCAGGTTAATTAGGGTTGCTCACTGAAACCAAATTTAAGATAAATTAAGTAAATTATCATTGCCAAGTCCAAACTTACAAATTTATCCTTTTCATAAACGACATCTTCAGGAAAGGCTTTCTATAAATGAATCATTATGGTTAGAACAACTAACAACCACACACAAACAAACGTGGATAAATATCAGATCATGCCACTTCATTTAAGAAAACAACAAAGAAAGATGTTTTAAAAAAAACCTTTCAATTTGAGTTGAAGTTTAGACATTAAAAGTGAATAAAGCCCCTTCTCCAATTAGGACACAGATCAGTAATTCTCCATCCAATTATCTCAGGATGTCTTTGAATGCTCAAAAACCAAATTAGCTCATTTCAATTAAAAGGTTATGCTGGATGGTCCTTGTAGATCTGGAAGATGGCATTGTCCATAAATGAAACCAACTAGGATAGGGTGTCAAAATTCTCCGAGGTTGAGCTTCATGTATCTGTTCTATGTATTTCCTAATATATTGATGCACTTAGTCTCCAAGTATAACTTCCTAGGGCAGGGTATTCAGGTGTTAGATTCATCAAAATCATCATGCAAATCATCTATGTAACAAAAATGTGACATCATCCCTTCTAGCAAAGCAAGAACAATGGATTAATTTGAGTAGGTATTGAAAGGACTTACTTATCAGTATCATATGTAGGAGTTTGAAGAAGCTTGTGGAAAAATCCTATTATCTCTTAATTCCATTTATCCATGAACTTTCTGAAGCCCCCACATATACATTGAAAGGTCTTTGTTAACTCAAATAAAAATTGTTGAAGTTTACATATATGTTCCTGTTTGTGTCTGCAGATACAAATATGTGTTTTCAGCATGTTATTGTCTACTATTTCTGTTTGAGAAACATGATTTAAATCCTGGTAAGCCCTGGACCACAAGGTCAGTTTGAATCGCAAAGTCAGCAGTTCAAACTCACTAGGTGCTCCTCAAACATTCTATACAGGGTAGCTATGAGTTGGTTCCAACTTGATGGCACTTAACAACAATCACGTGTGATGGTTGCCGTTAATAGCCATTATGAAGAATAGCCATTATGAAGGTTCTGGTCTATGGTAGAGCCCCGAGGGGCACACACTTACCTTCTGGGTGAGACTATGGGTGACTGGTGTTGTTTTATGCTGGGCTTATATTCAGTTTGATTTACTTTGCAAACCTAGGCCAAGGAAATATGTTTTGCAGTAAAATGAATAAATGGAAATCTAAGGTATTTGACTATTGGTTGATTAGCACCATTGAGATGGTTCCATTTCATAGTGACCCTGTATAGGGTTTCTGAGGAGCATCCAGTAGTTTTAAACTGCCGACTTGGCAGTCTAGGGCTTATTCTACAGTGCCAGACCATGACTCAGGTGTTTGATTTTCTATCCTATGTACTGAGACATCCTGTACTGCTTTTGTGGAGTCCTGGTGTGGCGCTGTGGGCTAATGCATCAGACTGTAAAGTTGTTTGAACTGTAAGGTCAGTAGTTCAAGTTTACCAGCTGCTCCTTGGAAACCCTATACAGGGTCGTTATGGGTCAGAATCGACTTGATGGCGTTTAACAATAACAACAACATACTGCTTTTGGTTGTCATTTAAAGATTCATTTATGTAGTGGAAGTTTAGTCATGTATGGTCAGCATGTTAGAATATATTAAAATGAATAGACTATTAATCATATAAACGTCAGCATATTAGAATGTAATAACAACAGGAAACAAGGTCAAAACTTGTATGATAGAAAATGATAGACACTGAGGTGATCACTTCAGTAAAATGTGGCTTCAAGATATTCTATTACCAAGGTGATAGAATTTTTAAGTCTCCAAACTAGTTGAAATTTCTAAAAGCCTTTTATCATTTAGAAAGTAATATTTTTACAAAATTTAGAAATTTAAATAAAAATTATGAGATTCCATAGAGAATGTATACATTAGCTATTACAGGGAAAGAACAATTTCATCCTCAATATTTACGTATGGCTGGGAGTCCTGGTATGGCGCTGTGGGTTAATGCACCAGACTGCAAAGCCGTTTCAACTGTAAAGTCAGCAGTTCAAGCTCACCAGCTACTCCTTGGAAACCCTTTACAGGGTTGCTATGGGTCGGAATCAACTCGACGGCACTCAACAACAACAACAATTCTTGACCCTGGTATGGCACTGTTGGTTAATGCACTAGACTGCAAAGTCAGTTTGTACCACAAGGTCAGTGGTTCAAGCTCACTAGCTACTCCTTGGAAACCCTATACAGGGTTGCTATGGGTCAGAACCTACTCAAGGGCATTAAACAACAACATTCTTGACCCTTGACCCTTGTGATAATATTAGCTTGCTTTTGACTCTAGGCAATTTCATTTACACTCATTTATTCTTCCAAAAGTAGTTGGTGTCTGTATGCAATTTTCACTCCCTTGCCTTATTTATGGGCAGTCTGAGCTTTTAGAAAAGCCAGGAGCTTTTCTTTTTTTTTGTATTTTTCATTTTTTCCATTTTTTTTTTTAAATTTTAACCTTGCATTGTGGATAAAACAGATTTGAAACTTTCTAACTTTCCATAGAGGTGATTTAATAAACACATAACAATTCAAGTTGGGCAATGTATTTTTAACGACATGTTTATGTGTTAACACTCTCTCTGTGGATAACACAAGATGGAGGTACGGTGAGATGGGTTTTTAGTTTATAATTCTAAACTGAAGGTTAATATTGTCATCAATATCTCTATGAAACAAGATGTTCTCTCATAAAATAGACAACACATAAACACATCCTTAAAAGGGCTTTTGAAGATTTGCATATAAAGTTAGCCTTTAATATAAAATTTCACTCTTTAGTAAATTGTCTCTTCACCAGGACATTCTCAAATTCTCCACTGGGCTGGATTTAATCTGCCAGGAATAGGGAGGCCACAAATGGGCTGCAGTCTGATGGGGTCATTTATGTATGGCTTACAGTTGTTTGAAGGCAAAGTCTGTAGTCTCTTGGCCAAATTGTAGATTTGTTCTTTACTTAACTTCATCTTTTCTATCAAAAAGATAAGAGTTCATGGTGAAATGGCAAGTTTTTATTTGCAAAGCCTATCTTTCATTTGGTTAATAATTAGTAAAGGAGGTTAAAGGTATTGTGACACTAGTAAGGTCTTTTGATCATATACAAGTTGACGCTGAAGTTATTGAGAAAATATGTATCATGTGTCAATATATTCTCAAGTCATTGGAAATAAGGAAAAGAAAGTTCAGAAGAGAGACTTGATTTTTAATTTTTATTTCTCAAATGCAATCATCCCTCTCCTAATCTTAACTAAATAAAAAGGATGGACTTGAATCCCAGATAAATATTTTTTAAAGCAAGTCAAGTTGTTATTAAAGAATTTGGTCAATTTGAAATAAAAAATGTTTTGTAATTTTTCAGGTGTGTGATTGCATTCTTAAGAAGTCATTCCCAGTTTAGTTTGTTGAGTCAATATGATTCCAAATTTATATACAACAGACATCAGGAATACTAGCATTAGAAGAGAGTACACATGTGCATTTGTTAATTAAAATAATATTTTTTGAACATCACTATGTGGTAGAAATTGTTTTAGACACTGAGACTGTAGCAGAGAGCAAAAACAGCCTTCCCTCCCCAAACTTAGTGAGTTAACTAGTGGATACGAATGATTTTTTTTTTTTTTAAATGAGATAAATCAATGAAAAACAGAGTGTGTTTTTTTTATCATTTTTGAGGAGGAAAAATAAACATGAAATGAAAATATAAAGTGTGTGAGTGTTTGGCGTGAACTTATAGACAGTATGGCCTTCAGAAATGAATTTGAGAAAAGCCCCAGTGAAGTGATGGATGTGCTTGGGTCCAGCATTTCAGGCAGAGGTGTTAGCCCTGGTAAGGTGCCCATTGCAAAGGGCCCTGAGGTAGAATCATGCTGAGGGACTAGCAAAGGGCCCAATGTAGTAGAAGCCAGAGATGAGTGAGAAGAGATTTAGAAGTTATGGTCAGAGAGACAATGGGGACTTGAGTATGTAGATTCTTGTAGGTCATGGTAAGAACTCTGGCATTTACACTGAGACATGAAGCCAAATTTTTTTCTAAAGTTTTCACAGGATCACAGAAGGAGATAGGGACAGGGCTGGGAATAGAATGAGGCAAGCCGTGCAAATACATAGTTTGACGCCTGTTTTTATTTAAAATGTTGGTGTTTTGTTCTTTATCAACACTGAGAAATGAAGCACAATGCTGTGAAAAAAGAGCCATGGCTCTGTTGATTCCGAGACGCTTATTGCATTTCTGGTGTGGCGCTATAGGATCAGCATTGGACTGTAAACCACAAGGTCAACTGTTCAAACCCACCAGCTGCTACTCAGAATCCCTTTACAGGGTCACTATGAGTCAGAACCGACTTGACGGAACTTAACCACAACAATAACTATTACATCTCCACATGGCAAACTTGAGAAACCAATGACTTTCCTGGGAGACTTCTAGGCTGGGGAATACTGATTTGAATGCATTAAGCATAGAAATGATATTTAACACTGTGGAACTGGATAAACTCACAGAGTAACTGTGTGAGAAGAATAGGTTCAAGGACTGATCTGTAGTGTACGCTAACTTCCAAAAGTCAAGGAGCTAAGCAGGACCCGATAAAGAAGATGGACCCTGAGCAGCCTGAAAAGTAGGAGGAAAACCAAGTGAATGAGGTGATTTGGAAGTCAATTAAAGAAAGGATTTCTAGAATAAGCCAGTGTTCAGTTGGGTCAAATGCTGCTAAGACAAGTAAGATGAAGCCTGAATAGGAACACAGAGCTATACTTCCTAGGTTCAAATCCCCACTTTGCCCATTATGCACCCTAGGTAATTCTTTAACCACTTTGTGTCTCAGCATTCTCAATTTAGATGATCAGGATCTTTGTATTGCATGAGTCTATGTATTGAAGGGACTTTGGAAGGGTACTTGGCACTGGCATATAGTACATGCTAGATCGGTGTTTGGT